ATGTTGTTATTCAATGTTTTCTACATCTTGTTAGGTTGTATTGATACCACAGTGAACATAGATTGTAATGAAAAGATAATTGAGATTTTATTCATATTTGAAATGAATGATACATACTAGAAGTGTAAATATATGTCGCTGTATTCAAATATGTTATCCAACCTAAGTCTTTTTTTTTCAGTCTGTTATTGATTCTCTATTTACTATGTGTGCGTTATATTTTAAAATAGTTTAGCAAGTGCAAAGTAACCTCGACAATCGTTTAATGTAGTTATTATGTTATTCTTACCACGATGAATGTTAACTTAGCCTATGTTGTCATATCACATGATACTTTAATGTTGTTAATCAAAACATGATTCATTGATCATTCGGTTATTTAATTAAAATGTTTATTTCAAAAATGTATCTAGCTTTTTAAATTTTTTTAAACTTTCAAAGTTTCTTAACTTATTTATATTGATGATCTCGCCATAACACTGTCATGGCTCGGTCTAATTTTTGTAAATCAAGTCGTTGTAAATTTTATTTATCCATCCAAAAACGATGAGCAGCACTGTGTGAAACTAAAGTTTTAACTTTAGTCAATAAGCCAAGTAAAAGCCATGCATCCTCATTTACTAGTCATAGAAAAGGGAAGTAAATCTAGCAATGTAACTGGCATAAACAATTTCTTGGGTCGCCTACCTACATCGTCTATACTGTATAATAATTTAACGATTCACTGTTTCATATATTTGAAAATATTTATTAAAACAAACAAGCTTGTATTTATAATATGTGTAAAATATACGAGAAAAGTTATGTATTCAATTAGGATTAGAAAATACTAACAATGTTTGAGCTATTTTTAAATCCTGGTACAAGAGCATCAGGCTGCTAGATCTGCCAGATAAACTGCCTGCTGCTCGTAAAATGTTAACATAAACAAATCAAAAGCCACAGCCCTTCTTCAACATTCTTACACAACGCTTGCTTGTACACACTAGTGTATGTAGGCTGAAGGTTACATACACATGAGAGAAAGTATGTGCTTTGTTATCTTACGTTCTAGACTTGCAATGTTTAATGTAGACACGGGTTCAGTTTTAGCCAGAAAGGATCATGCAGTTGTGTTTGTACCATAAACTTTTGAAATTTATTTTTTTTTCATTTTAGTCACACTTTCTTAGACACAACTCTAGTGTATTTAATTACTTTATCATGTTAATGTATTAATACTTCGACACAACGTAAACGCGCAACAGACACAAAGGCAATAGAACACATATTACTTAGTCATTTCCGATAGTATATTGTACGCAAGAGTGATAGATGAGAAATTATTAAATAGTAAATTGCATTTCTAACCTGACCAAATTGGCAAATGAAGTAGAGTTTACCTGGTTTTTATTAAGTGTGATCGTTTGGAACCTGGTAGTCAGCGAACATATAAATCAGAGCAACAGTGTATCTGCGACTTCAGGCTATAAAGGAATATCGCGGTCAGCATTAGCTACCCTAGACATTAAACCAATACAGCAGTTTCTTCTTCTTAAATTAAATGCTGGTCGGAATTTCCTCCTACACAAGCTAGTTATTTAGACCTTTGAATCCTATTTCATAGTGCTTATCTTTTTTTTTCCGTAGCCTTTGTCCAACAAAGAACAAATTACAAGGCAGCAGTTGTTTGATGTAGGTTCTTTCTGTTCGATATGGGTTGTTGTACCTAGCTAGCGAGACTCGTGTCATTATGTATAGGAACGAAGAAGACGATAGTGAATTGTTATATCAAGAGAAATGAAGGGTGTTCTAAGTGTAGGGTTTGTATTAGCACTTTGTTACGGAGTAAAATGGAGAAATTATAAAAAATGGTTTTCATTTCTCTTAATTTTGACGAAAGAAATGGGGGAAAGTGGGGTAAGGGCATGCCGAGGGGTCAGTACCCGTTCCCCGTCCACCGTCCCTCTGGATGTTGAAAGAGCCAATTGTTTTACGTCTTCAAACCTCGAGAGACACACTGCACCTTGTTGTGTTTGTTTCTTGTAGCTCTTCAGACACCTTTACCTTGCTCGTGTATTTAAATTAGACAATCAACGCGGCCAGACAGGTGAGATATACACCTGTAAACATGTCTTACGTAATCTGGATTGTTCTTAAAATAGCTCATCTAATTCCGTATTGTATACCTGGATGCCTCAGACCCGGGCTATAAAACACAGCATTCACGTCCGTCAATTCACATAACCTTTAACCCCGGCCAAAGTCGTCTTCCCTCGTAAATCGTACCGTTGTTAAGGGAATCATTTTTCCCAATTAGCAGGGTATATTTAGTTTTAAAAATTTGCAGGTTGGAGAATAATAAGCATACGGTGTCAGAGACAGGTGTCTGGATTCTGCGTCTTAATTTATAAACAGCTGGTTTTTTTTTTACATCTGTTGTTTTCTCTTTTTGTTTTAGAGTAGTTATTGATAATCTGACAGTTTGTTAGATAAATGAGAATGTAATGATAATTTGGATAATTAATTGTTTTTTAAATCAGCGGTGTCGGTAATATGTGAACGACAAGGAGGTGGTTAACTTTGTGGGATTTATATACATTAATATGTATATATATATATATATATATATATATATATATATATATATATATATATATATATATATATATATATATATATATATATATATATACATTAATATGTATATATATATATATATGTAAATAAGTATAAATATAACTATATATATATATAATTATATATATATATATATATATATATATATATAATTATATATATATATATAGTTATACTTATATATATTTTTTTAAAAATCCCGACAAAGACCACCCGGTTACCACCAAAGATTTAAATAATACTATTAAAATCTAGTAGGGTCAATATATTTGTGTGTTTGTGTGTATAATTGTGTGTGTATGTGTCTACTCTGTCTTTGTATAGGTAATACAGTTACCTATACAGTTACCAGAGAGGGGGGGGGGCACTGCATATCTATCGCCCCCCCCACCCCCCTCCCGCTCTTGAATAAAAGAATAAATATTAATTTGATATAGAGAAAATATTTTCTTTAACCGCTGTTCGTCCCCTTCCGAAGAAGTTTTAGATTCCCCCCCCCCCACAAAAGTTTCAAGTGCTCCCCTACCCCGGAGAATAATGCCTAAAAGAAACACCGCACCTACTTCTGTAGTGATATGAGAACAAAGGTGTTTTTATGTGCCGGAAATATGGTAACCGAAGAGGTGAGTAAACGCGATTTTTCTTTCAACAAAGGTAAACCTCTGCAGCAGTAGAGTGTGTGGGGGGGGGGGGGGGGGGGGAGAGTGAGTCAGTTGTTTTCACGGTGGAAATGGGTCGCGTGCAGGTAAATTTAGAACTTTAGTTGTCAGGGGCGGTCAGTGGCAAAATACAGGCTGTGTTCAGGCTAGCTGAAATTATCTTCAGCTAATGTAGAGGTTTAGTTGTTAGGGACTGTCAGTTATACAAAGTAGGATGCGTTTATGCAAGCTGAAGTGATCTTCAGTTGATGAAGATGTTTATTTTTTCGGGGCAGTGATTAGTACAATATAGGATGGGTTCAGGCTAGCTGAAATAATCTTCAGTTAATGTAGAGCTTTCTTTGTCAGAGCGGGCAGTAGTACAATATAGGATGTGTTCGGGCTAGCTGAACATTAAATTAGTAACGGGGTAAAGAGACGTATTATAGGGACGTCTTGTAATGGTTCTTTTACCGGGTTGGAGGCTGAAATGACGTTTTGCTTGCACCGTTTAAAGGGGTTTTATTTTTATTGTATCAATGTGAGATTTAATAACTTTCTTAATTAAATATATATCTAATTTACAAAATATATTAAGTGTCTTAACCTGTTTTTCCTTTTATCTGCGCTTGTGAGATTATTGATAGTAATACAAAACAAAATTGAAAATGTCTTATACTAAAAGTTATTTCACTCTAGAATGCATTCTAAAGTAGTAGTTAATTACATTAGTAAAATTTGAATCGAACAAAATATTTTTTTTACCATACACCGACATTAAAAACAGAAGATATGAATTATCCAACATATTTTTTGTCATTATTTACATTTTCCTTAACGAAACGTCAGATGTCTATTGTAAGCTTGCAGTTATATATTATATAGTTGCTCACTTTAGGTTATGCTAACTAACCTGTTTTAATGAGCGTGCCAACAGGGCATTAGAATAGTTAACAATGATAATTGCAAACAAATCGTCAGTAAAAACTTAAGTTCGCACTTAGACCTGATATTTCATAAAAACATGAAGTAGAGTTGATCTGTTTCTTGACCTCGGCCTTTGAACCGATGGTGTGATCAGGACTATACCTAGCCGATTTCTTTACCTAACGCGGGTCAGGTACCAATCAGAGCTGGGTGGACTCAAGGCCGTCTTACATACTCGAGGCCTAGATCCGAACTCGAGACTTCCGTGTAATCGTCCTACTATCCAACCACATCGTCCCATCCTTAACAACTTTAAATTTTGAATTTTTTAAAAAATATTTTCTATGTTAAACTGAGACTAAGTTTAAAATGTGGATTGAACACGACATAAAATCGTGATATTATGTTGCGAATAATATTTTTGCTGCGAATAATTTTAATGTTTACCCTGTATAATTGTACAAAACCTGTGAAGAAAAATTTCACACATCTATTTCTTATCATGTTTTTTCGTTTAATAACTCCCCCCAACATCTGTTTATCTATTTTATATCTTAATATTTCACTTAACCACACACTAAACAGAAGTACATCAAAATTATATTCAAACACGCGCAGTGTATTCGAAAACATTTTCAAATATTTTAGTTTCGATACTTTTCAACACTTAAAAGACAGGTAGCGCCCGGGTATCGTTCTGCCCATCCATTACACCGAATTAGAACGCAGAAAGGTAAAGAAAGAAAGAAGGTAGGAAAAGAAAAAAAAAACAAGGCAAGCGCTGGTTTCGCATAGGGCTGTATTTTGTGAGCGTGCTGTATGGTGCGTGTTTTCTACCCTGCGTGCGTGAGAGCGATTGCCTCTAGGAAAGGTGTTTCATGCAAAAAGTTTCTTTAGTTTAAAGCGGGGCCAAATTCTGAAACGGGAAGTACGTTGTTATAAGGTAAGTCGAACTGCTGGGTGTTGAATTTAGGGGCTTGGTGGGTGTATGGGTTTGTGGTGATGTTTAAAGGTGTTAACTATAGGATGTTGTGAGTGTGTATGTGTTTGTGGTGGTGTTTAAAGGTGTTAACTAAAAGGGAGTGTGGGAATGGGTGTGTAATTTTGATTAGTGGTCTTGTTAATGAAATGATGTTGTGTATATAGGTAGCTGTTGTCGTTTATGTTGCGTGTTTTAACTTATGTAAAATATTGGGTCTTGTTGTGTATGATTCCGTGTTAATGTTTTGTGATGGGTTGTTTGGTGTATTTTGTGGTGGTTTTTTATTTTTATTTTGTGATGTATTTTTGGTGTATACTGGTGTTGTGTGTGGTGTTTACTGATGTTGTGTGTTTAGACTGCTGTAGTTTAGTATAGAATGCTGTTTTGTATCTCTGAGTTGGTATACGTGATGTTGTTAATTGCTGCATGTAATATGACTGTCTTTAATTTCATGGGCTAGTTTGCGGAGAGTTATAGCTATTGTTTTTGTTTGTGTTTGTGTTAATTATTGGAGTTACGAATGCATAGGTAAATTATCTTGACGTTTTTTTTTAAAATGTTGCCTTCTATATTAATATGTCTAGTCGAGTCACATTAACAAACATAACTAAAGGTTTGTTTTATTAATATTTTAGTTTAGTTAATGTGAATGTAAAAAATGCCAATTATTATATAAATATTCTTTTTTTCTATTTAGCTTAGTGTGTGTTTTCCTAATTCTCTGAATTTACCTTTTTTCTGTTTTGTTTTGTTACCCAATAATAAAATTACCCAGTGGTTGATTAGAGAGAGAGGGGGTGGAACCTTTTTTTGAGAATTCTGCCAGTTGTCTTGAAGCCAGAAGTGAGTAGGGTGCCCTGACTGGGGATGTTTTGGTTTTAAGCCCGGGATTTCCCGGGTTAAGCAGTTTAGATTTTGTTTTGTTTGTGTTAATCCACCCAGACTTATAAATACGCAGATATTCCGTGATAATTTTCGGGGGACGTATACCATCCGTCATGGACAGGTAACTGTTGTTTTGTGACTACGTGAGTTGTGGTTCGTGTTATAATATACCTGGCGACTTAAATCTTCTTCTTCGTTCTTAATTTTAGTGTTAAAAAATGGTTATGCGCCATATAAACAGTTGAATAAGATTTCAGCCTGCTTTTTTTTTTGTTGATTTGATTCCATAGCCTTTGCCCGCGATTTAAATCACTACAGGCGAAATTATTTTAATTTTTTTTTTAAATAGTTAATATTTAGTCTCATATAAGTAAGATCACTTTCAATAGCTTTTAATAGATGTATATATTTATTAAGGAATTTCAGCTACGCCTATTTTGCGTTAAACAGTTTGTCTTTAGATACGTAAGCTAACTGCGTTATGTCGGTGTATATTTTGCGATATATATATATATATATATATATATATATATATATATATATATATATATATATATATATATATATATATATATATATATATATATATATAAAGTAGAATAATTCAGTTGTATTTCTGCTGATCTTTAATATTGGATCATATGTGATACGGGAAATTACCATTGATTGCCAACATGTACAGCAACACCGTCATCATTTTAAGTATTAAGACACTATTTTTCTGCTGGTAATAAATGAAAGCTATCTGCCTGGTTTTACATATTTAAAAAATTGCGGAATGTCTAACATTCGCGCATTAACGTATAAAACCATTGATACAGATCAGGAATTTTGTTTATTAGAAATTAAAATATTGTATTGGGGTTTTACTTTTAAAATCTTCCCTCTGTGTGTCACGATGATCTTACGGTATTAAAATGCTAGAGCGACTTTAAATTCTTATGCTAGTTTTACTTAGACTGAATTCTTCACCAGCAAATGTAACTTAGGTTCTAGATTAGCGGTTCTTTACGTTGGTTCCATCGAACCCCGGGAGTTCTATGAGTCAGTCCCAGGGGTTCGGCGGAGGTCACACTCGACTCATGTGACTTGTTATCTGATTGTGTCAAAGTAGACAACCTAACTATTAAGAAGGGTTCGGTGAATGCGCATATGAAACTGGTGGGGTTCAGTACCTCCAAAACAAGTTAAGAACCACTGTTCTAGAAGCTTCTGTTTACCTTACAACTTGGCTCACACCTGAGCTAATTACTTTCATTAGACCAGAGTACACCAGCGAGAGAATAAAGTTCTGAAACCTTGTTTGTCTTTAGAAAGGTACTGCGTTATTTTGACATAAAGTATCCTGTTTTTGTATTATCAAATGCCAGAACTATTTCTTTATACAACTGTGTATTATCTTTTGTATTTTTTTGCAACTTGTGAATGTATATCTAAGAGCATGTGTGGCTTTTATTCTTTATTTACATTCTTCACAACATGTGTTTCTAATTTAGTTTTTACTTCAAGAAAACGTAATCCTCTATTTGTAAACTGACAGAGAATGTTCATTTGATTAGATGTTAAAAAAGCAAGTGTCCGTTGATTAGATGGTAAAAAGAATAAATTTATGTTTATTAGGTGTTGAAAAGGATATTTGTTAATTATTTGTTGAAAATAATGTCTTTTGTTTAGATGTGAAAAGGGTGTCTGTTAATTAGATGTTAAAAAGGGTAACTTTTGATGAGGTGTTGAAAAAGAGTGTCTGGTTAATTAGATGTTGAAAAGGGTTTCCGTACATTAGATGTTGAAAAGGGTGACTTTTGATTAGGTGTTGAAAATGGTGTCTGTTATTTAGATGTTGAAAATAAAAAGTGACATTTGTTATTTTTTTTAACATTTGTTGAAAGGACCTAATATCCGTTAATGTGACGTTTAAAAGGGAAAGTTGATAAAATGTTAATAAGAAAAAAAAGTTTATGTTGATTACATGTCAAAAAGCAAACAATCCGTGGAATAGATATTTAAAAAGAAGGCTTTTTTAATTAAATGTTGAAAAGAAAACGAGTATGAAAAATAAGATTTTGAATAGAGAAAGTGTATGTTCATTAGATGTTGAAAAGAAAAAAAAATTATATTCATAAGATGTTGAAAAGAGAAAATGTATGTTGATTAGATGTTGAATAGAGAAAATGAATCTTGATGAGATGTTTAATAGAGAAAATGTATGTTGATGAGATGATAAAAAGAGAGAGTGACAGCTCACTAATGCTCGCACGTGCATATCACATAAAACTGCCCATAGTTCTATTAACAACAGGCTCACGCTGACCTACTTACCAACTCGCCTAGTTAACCCAATTTACTCACCGTTTATTGCGGGTATCATGTACTAATTGCCCTGATGATTACTGTTGTTCTATGTTTGGCAGCTTTATGCTGTCTACACACACTTTTGTGTTCTGCCTATACTGTAAAACTAAGGTACAGATACTAAAATTGCCGAACAATTGACTAGTCACCTTGATGTACTCTCCAAAACAACCCGTTTATATCTGCTTCAGATAATAACGTTGATATAACATTAATAACAAATAAAGTGGATATAAATTCTACAGCTAACAAAGTTGATATATTTTTTACTGTTTTCTTTTTTTTTTTTTAATTGGCAGTATTAGAGGGAACTTCCGCCAACGTAATTAAGGATTACATGACAACATGTTATGCGCCCTTAGGACCGTTAACTCCGTCTTCATAATGCATTTCCTTCTAGACTTGTTTCCATGGTAGTTTACACACAAAGATGTCCCCCCCCCCTTGCTCATCAGCCCGGGTTCCGAACTCGGGACTTATGGGTTAGCAATCATATACTTACCCACCCGACACAACTGTATAGCTAATCAACATGATAGAGTTTTAGAGAAAATAATTTTGATACATCTGATGTAATTTTACTAATATTGATGATATGACTTTGTGTGGTTCTTTCAAAGGATATAACTTGTTTTTACCAATTACAGTTGATAATACTTTGTATTTAAGAATTCTATATTAGTCATCCTCATTAAAATAAACTTGTTTAAGTAAATTTAAAACGATTTGTTTATTTTTTTTTAATTTCTCTAAATAAACAAACATAAGAGTTAAATGCTTAAAACATGAGATCATTCTCTAAGTTTCGGAAGACTAATTAGATTAATTATTACACTTATTAAATGCCAGGTTTTAATATTATTTCTCTAAAATAATTACTTTATCTCATACGTATGAAATTTTATAAGATAATAAAAGCTTATTAAGTAAAACTTATTTTGTTTGATAAAAACTTGCCAAAATAATGTATTTTAAGCTTTATGATCAAATACTTGTAAAGTAAACATAAAAAAATTAAGCTACTATAAATAAGAGTTAAATGGGTAACGTTAAGGTTGGATGGGTGATGTAAGGGTTGAATGGGTGATGTTAGGGTTGGATGGGTGATGTTAGGGTTGTAATGGTGATGTTAGGGTTGGATGGGTGATGTAAGGGTTGAATGGGTGATGTTAGGGTTGGATGGATGGTTTTAGGGTTGGATGGGTGATGTTAGGGTTGTAATGGTGATGTTAGGGTTGGATGGGTGATGTTAGGGTTGGATGGGTGGTGGTAGGGTTAGGATGGGTGGTGTTAGGGTTGGATGGATGGTGTTAGGGTTAGGATGGGTGGTGTTAGGGTTGGATGGATGGTGTTATGGTTGGATGGGTGATGTTAGGGTTGGATGGGTGATGTTAGGGTTGGATGGGTGATGTTACGGTTGGATGGGTGATGTTAGGGTTGGATGGGTGATGTTAGGGTTGGATGGGTGATGTTAGGGTTGGATGGGTGATGTTAGGGTTGGATGGGTGATGTTACGGTTGGATGGGTGATGTTAGGGTTAGGGTTGGATGGGTGATGTTAGGGTTAGGGTTGGATGGGTGATGTTAGGGTTAGGGTTGGATGGGTGATGTTAGGGTTAGGGTTGGATGGGTGATGTTAGGGTTGGATGGGTGATGTTACGGTTGGATGGGTGATGTTAGGGTTGGATGGCTGATGTTAGGGTTGGATGGGTGATGTTAGGGTTG